GGAAAAAAGACACCAGCAAACCTATCATCATGTAAAACAATTACAGATGTTAGGTCCTGCTCCTGGGTGGTTGCTGTCTATCACCTTTACCAAGGAGGTAGTACCTCTCTGGGTGGTTGCTGTCTACCAACCTACTACCACAGGACGGTAGTACCTCCGGGGTGGTTGTTGTCTATCAACCTACTACCACGGACGGTAGTACCTCCTGGGTGGTTGATGTCTACAACCTACTACCACAGGACGGTAGTACCTCTCTGGGTGGTTGCTGTCTACCAACCTACTACCACAGGACGGTAGTACCTCCCTGGGTGGTTGCTGTCTATCAACCTACTACCACAGGACGGTAGTACCTCTCTGGGTGGTTGATGTCTACCAACCTACTACCACAGGACGGTAGTACCTCCCTGGGTGGTTGTCTACCAACCTACTACCACAGGACGGTAGTACCTCCCTGGGTGGTTGTTGTCTACCAACCTACTACCACAGGACGGTAGTACCTCTCTGGGTGGTTGATGTCTACCAACCTACTACCACAGGACGGTAGTACCTCTCTGGGTGGTTGCTGTCTATCAACCTACTACCACAGGACGGTAGTACCTCCCTGGGTGGTTGCTGTCTTACAACCTACTACCACAGGACGGTAGTACCTCCCTGGGTGGTTGTTGTCTACCAACCTACTACCACAGGACGGTAGTACCTCCCTGGGTGGTTGCTGTCTACCAACCTACTACCACAGGACGGTAGTACCTCCCTGGGTGGTTGTTGTCTACCAACCTACTACCACAGGACAGTAGTCCTCCCTGGGTGGTTGCTGTCTACCAACCTACTACCACAGGATAGTAGTACCTCCCTGGGTGGTTGCTGTCTACCAACCTACTACCACAGGATGGTAGTACCTCCCTGGGTGGTTGCTGTCTACCAACCTACTACCACAGGACGGTAGTACCTCCCTGGGTGGTTGTTGTCTACAAACCTACTACCACAGGACGGTAGTACCTCCCTGGGTGGTTGTTGTCTACCAACCTACTACCACAGCGGTAGACTTCTGGGTGTTGTTGTCACCAACCTACTCCAATGACGGTGTACTCTGGTGGTTGTGTCTACCAACCTACTACCACAAGACGGTAGTACCTCCCTGGGTGGTTGCTGTCTACCAACCTACTACCACAGGACAGTAGTACCTCCCTGGGTGGTTGTTGTCTACCAACCTACTACCACAGGACGGTAGTGCCTCCCTGGGTGGTTGTTGTCTACCAACCTACTACCACAGGACAGTAGTGCCTCCCTGGGTGGTTGTTGTCTACCAACCTACTACCACAGGACAGTAGTGCCTCCCTGGGTGGTTGTTGTCTACCAACCTACTACCACAGGACGGTAGTACCTCCCTGGGTGGTTGTTGTCTACCAACCTACTACCACAGGACAGTAGTGCCTCCCTGGGTGGTTGTTGTCTACCAACCTACTACCACAAGACAGTATTACCTCCCTCGGTGGTTGCTGTCTACCAGCCTACTACCACAAGACAGTATTACCTCCCTAGGTGGTTGCTGTCTACCAGCCTACTACCACAAGACAGTATTACCTCCCTAGGTGGTTGCTGTCTACCAGCCTACTACCACAAGACAGTATTACCTCCCTAGGTGGTTGCTGTCTACCAGCCTACTACCACAAGACAGTATTACCTCCCTAGGTGGTTGCTGTCTACCAACCTACTACCACAAGATAGCATTACCTCCCTCGTTGGTTGCTGTCTACCAACCTACTACCACAAGAAAGTAGTACCTCCCTCGGTGGTTGCTGTCCACCAACCTACTACCACAGGACAGTAGTACCTCCCTGGGTGGTTGCTGTCTACCAACCTACCACAGGACAATAGTACCTTCCTGGATGGTTGCTGTCTACCAACCTACTACCACTGGACAGTAGTACCTCCCTGGGTGGTTGCTGTCTACCAACCTACTACCACAGGACAGTAGTTCCTCTCTGGGTGGTTGCTGTCTATCAACCTACTACCACAGGACAGTATTACCTCCCTGGGTGGTTGCTGTCTACCAACCTACTACCACAGGACAGTAGTTCCTCCCTGGGTGGTTGCTGTCTACCAACCTACTACCACAGGACAGTAGTTCCTCCCTGGGTGGTTGCTGTCTTCCAACCTACTACCACAGGACAGTAGTACCTCCCTGGGTGGTTGCTGTCTACCAACCTACTACCACAGGACAGTAGTTCCTCTCTGTGTGGTTGCTGTCTACCAACCTACTACCACAGGACAGTAGTTCCTCCCTGGGTGGTTGCTGTCTTCCAACCTACTACCACAGGACAGTAGTACCTCCCTGGGTGGTTGCTGTCTACCAACCTACTACCACAGGACAGTAGTTCCTCTCTGTGTGGTTGCTGTCTACCAACCTACTACCACAGGACAGTAGTTCCTCCCTGGGTGGTTGCTGTCTACCAACCTACTACCACAGGACAGTAGTACCTCCCTGGGTGGTTGTTGTCTACCAACCTACCACAGGACAGTAGTACCTCCCTGGGTGGTTGCTGTCTACCAACCTACCAAAGGACAGTAGTACCTCCCTGGGTGGTTGCTGTCTACCAACCTACTACCACAGGACAGTAGTACCTCCCTGGGTGGTTGCTGTCTACCAACCTACTACCACAGGACAGTAGTTCCTCCCTGGGTGATTGCTGTCTACCAACCTACTACCACAGGACAGTAGTACCTCCCTGGGTGGTTGCTGTCTACCAACCTACTACCACAGGACAGTAGTTCCTCCCTGGGTGGTTGCTGTCTACCAACCTACTACCACAGGACAGTAGTACCTCCCTGGGTGGTTGTTGTCTACCAACCTACCACAGGACAGTAGTACCTCCCTGGGTGGTTGTTGTCTACCAACCTACCACAGGACAGTAGTACCTCCCTGGGTGGTTGTTGTCTAACAACCTTCCACAGGACAGTAGTACCTCCCTGGGTGGTTTCTGTCTACCAACCTACCACAGGACAGTAGTACCTCCCTGGGTGGTTGCTGTCTACCAACCTACTACCACAGGACAGTAGTTCCTCCCTGGGTGGTTGCTGTCTACCAACCTACTACCACAGGACAGTAGTACCTCCCTGGGTGGTTTCTGTCTACCAACCTACTACCACAGGACAGTAGTACCTCCCTCGGTGGTTGTCTACCAACCTACCACAGGACAGTAGTACCTCTCTGGGTGGTTGCTGTCTACCAACCTACTACCACAGGACAGTAGTACCTCCCTGGGTGGTTGCTGTCTACCAACCTACCACTGGACAGTAGTACCTCCCTGGGTGGTTGCTGTCTACCAACCTACCACAGGACAGTAGTACCTCCCTGGGTGGTTGCTGTCTACCAACCTACCACAGGACAGTAGTACCTCCCTGGGTGGTTGCTGTCTACCAACCTACCACAGTACAGTAGTACCTCCCTGGGTGGTTGCTGTCTACCAACCTGCTACCACAGTACAGTAGTACCTCCCTGGGTGGTTGCTGTCTACCAACCTGCTACCACAGTACAGTAGTACCTCCCTGGGTGGTTGCTGTCTACCAACCTACCACAGGACAGTAGTACCTCCCTGGGTGGTTGCTGTCTACCAACCTACCACAGGACAGTAGTACCTCCCTGGGTGGTTGCTGTCTACCAACCTACCACAGGACAGTAGTACCTCCCTGGGTGGTTGCTGTCTACCAACCTACTACCACAGGACAGTAGTACCTCCCTGGGTGGTTGCTGTCTACCAACCTACTACCACAGGACAGTAGTACCTCCCTGGGTGGTTTCTGTCTACCAACCTACTACCACAGGACAGTAGTACCTCCCTCGGTGGTTGTTGTCTACCAACCTACCACAGGACAGTAGTACCTCTCTGGGTGGTTGCTGTCTACCAACCTACTACCACAGGACAGTAGTACCTCCCTGGGTGGTTGCTGTCTACCAACCTACCACTGGACAGTAGTACCTCCCTGGGTGGTTGCTGTCTACCAACCTACCACAGGACAGTAGTACCTCCCTGGGTGGTTGCTGTCTACCAACCTACCACAGGACAGTAGTACCTCCCTGGGTGGTTGCTGTCTACCAACCTACTACCGCAGGACAGTAGTACCTCCCTGGGTGGTTGCTGTCTACCAACCTACCACAGGACAGTAGTACCTCCCTGGGTGGTTGCTGTCTACCAACCTACTACCGCAGGACAGTAGTACCTCCCTGGGTGGTTGCTGTCTACCAACCTACTAATACAATTATATTAATATTTTTGTAGAACGTATGAATAAAAGGGATCTATATGTATATGACAGGAGAAATGCAAAGAAATTTAGCAGTGCATTAGTAAGTGCTTTTACCGACTGTCAACCTTCTCAATTTATGCAATATTCACTTGTCATACAAATCAATTAGTGTTACATTCGCCAGTTAAACAACTCAGTTAATGTTGTACCCTTCTGATAAACATCTTAGTTGTGCTATACTCTCCTGATAAACCGCTAATTAGTAATATACCCGTCTGATCAACCGCTAATTAGTATTAAACCCGTCTGATAAACCGCTTAATTATGCTATACCCTACAATTAAACCACTCAGTGCTGTACCAGCCTGATAAACCACTCATGATAAACCAGTTATGCTATCCCGCCTGAAAAAAATCGCTTAGTTATGCTATACCTACCCGATAAACCATTCAACTATGCTGTACCCCTCCATGAACCTCTTATTAAGTAGTATACCCGCCAGATAAACAATTCAATTATGCTGATAAACCACTAATTAGTGATACACCGTGTGATAAACCACTCAGTGCTATATCCACATAAACTTCTCAATTATGCTATTCCAGCCTGATAAACCACTCAGTGCTATATCCACATAAACCTCTCAATTATGCTATTCCAGCGTGATAAACCACCCAATTAGTGGTATTCCAGCCTGATAAACCACCCAATTAATGGTATTCCAGCCTGATAAACCACTCAGCTTAATTTGCAGGGTCCAATGCAGTTGAGATCAAGCGCACGACCAACTTGGAGACCAACTTGCAGGGTTTGGGACGCTTCACTAATTACAGCGTGAGGGTGTTGGCCTTCACTGCTGCTGGGGACGGTGTGGTGTCCCAGCCAGTACTCTGCTCCACTCTCCAGGATGGTAAGCAATCACCCCAAGGCAAAATTTGCTCAGAATTAGGCTGCTGGTTTGTCGACAAATACTAGTGTGAAAATATTTGTACTTTGTATGGACAGACTCACACTCATTTACATTCGATAATAATCTTTATTTCTGCAAGTACACGTACAAGGTTCACAGGCCTAGCTGACATCAGTGACACATTACTATATAGGAAGTCACTTGTTATGCAAAGCATTTCTGGCAAATTAGGTCAGTTTTGTTCCCGGGATGGGACTCATTCCAGTCGTTTAACACCCAGGTACCTATTTTACTGCTAAGTTAAGAGGGACAGCAGGTGTCTTGAGGAAACACGTCACAACGTATCCACCCGTCCCGGGGCGCTGAGTGCGCTACCAATCGAGCTACATGACACCTTGAATGACTTGTTAATGATCTGAATATATTGAATCTTTGAATCAAGAAAGACTTTTTCTGCTGAGTTGTTGTCTTCACTCTTGCATTTTGATAGCATGAGAGATGAGAGGAGAATGACTGACCTACAAACACTAGTGTAGGACTATATTTGTCTTCCCTAAAGAGAAGTGAATCTTTCGTTGAATGAAACGTTTGCATTTATTGAGATATTACACAGAACATATCATTAGTAGAATGTCAATTTTATTTCTTCTAAAAGAAAGGGAAATAAAGGTATGTATTGCCAGTTATATTCTATTAATTTTCTAGCTCTTTGTGGTTACGAACGTGGCTGCTTCCGAATAATTAAAGGTCACCTTCAAATCTTATGAAAAAAGGGAATTGAAATAGGATGATTCTACTGGATAAATAATAAGCAGATATATTTATACCACAGTAAACAATCGTAGATTATTTGTCCCATTAAATAATAAATAAATAAATATGATCAAGTTAATTTACTCGTTAGAAATAAACAGAAAATATGTGCTAAGCTGAGATAACGTCGACGAACAGTGCTGGTTGTTGACCAGTATTAAAAGGAAGTGATGAACAACCTCTGTGAAACATCCACTGCTAAGTTAAGTTCCAGGCAAAGATGAATAATCTGAGTCATGACGCGACACTGGATCTTGTGGAGACGTCAGATTTCCAACCTTCGTTAGGTTTCTAAAAAACAAAGAGCCAGTTCCTAAACGCTAATTAATTCAAGTGAAGTTAGCATTCCAGACACGGACCTCAGTTGGAGACACTGAGGAAAAGTTTTATCACCAGACAGTGGTAGCTTTCACTAGTACTGTATTTATAATATCTCCTTATTCACTAGAACAGTCTTGGTGATTTATACGAAAACTGTGGACTAAGAAGGATTGCCTGAAAGATGCTACAGTTTCCGTACTGGATGAAGGTCGAAAGAACTGGGCGTTTTGCTTCATCTCAGCTTACGTGTAACGTCACACACTATGCAATAATAAATCTACGTATATCGAAGAATCGTCGAGGGCAAAGTGAAGACAGATTCAGTGTTCAATGCCTCAGTCTGTCTTCACTTTATGTCTGTTGCATGTCTTGATAATAAAACCTTATTTTCTGTACTGACTGTGATCAAGTGGCCAGCCATATGCTAATCTGCCAAACCGTGTTACCGGAATCAATTGTTGGAATTTCAGCAACCAAATAAGCAAACTTGGCACAGACAACAAAAGCATCTCTCGTAGAGATGTATCGGATGTGAAAATTTAGATATCCGCAGATGCGGATGTGTGTGAGGATGTCTTACTTATTTTGCGGATGCGGATGTTAATGCGGATGTAAAGAGTTGTGTGGATGTTTCACGGATGTTGATACGGATGCATATTCGGATATCTCTTTACAGTAAATTGTGGATGCGGATGTGTATGCGGATATCCGATACATCACTACTCTGTATAATTTTCGTATCGACAAAAGGTGCTGTTAAACAAGCATTTGGGATATATTGCTTCTCTGACTAATTCAGTCTTTACACATGCTTTCAGTTCAACTTATAATGCTGCAATCCAAATATCTAAATACATTCCCTCACTGACAACTACCAGGAAAAACTGTAAGATGTGAAAACATCTAGTCCATATACTCTCCTACACATATTTATAACTGTACACATATTTATAACTGATTCATGGTAAATATATATACGTTATTTATGCTTTGTATAAGAAAAAATCGCCTCAAATATACTAACTAGCCTATGACAGTTCCTGGGACGCCAGCAGCAATCCGCGCCCTTGCAAGTGGTCGAGACTCAGTGATAGTGTCGTGGCTGCCGCCCCTTCGTCCGAATGGGATCCTCACTCACTACACACTCTACTACCGTCCACTGAACGCTCCTCAGGTAAGCAATGAACCCAGCCCATGAACGGATCTCATTTACAAGTTCATTCTGTTATAACCTTCAACATTAATTTATTTTCCTCTCTAAACGACAATTCATTGAAGGAAAATGTTCTGGTAAATTATTTAAAATTAACGGAGAAGCCATATTACATTATTATAATATTTTCTTGATACGACTTTATTTATGTTTCATAATATCGATGATCTTTGGCACTGAAACCTATTACAAACTTATTAAAATATAATTTCTGTAACTCTATTTCTGTAACTCTGTTTCTGTAACTTTATTTCTGTAACTCTATTTCTGTAACTCTATTTCTGTAACTCTATTTCTGTAACATAGAACATCATATTAGACATTCAAAATGATCTTAATAGTTATTTTATAAATGATTTAGAAAACTGACAAGTTGAAGAATTAATCCGGAATAACTTGGGAATCTTTTTTGTGGAAATGTTCCGCCAGGAATTGGCTTCTTCAGTCGAGTACAGAGAAAAGAGGTAAAAAATGAGCAGTTTGAGGTAATCAGTCGTTCAGCCTGGAGTTAAGTGTTCAGTCGATCAGTGTTGAGGAAGTATAGTGCTCCAGACAAAGTCTTTTGTATTAAATATGACTGAATATATTCCAGCATATGAATCAGTTATCACGACGACTGCCATGAAGAAGCAAGGTCTGTAACAGGCCGGAGAAGGACGTATATATCTCCATTATTAAACCATCTTGCTGAAAAATATCAACGCTTGAAGACAAGAAAGCACAGATAGAGAACTGAGAGCACGAGTATCAGGAACAATGATTTGATGCTATCAGAAAATTATGTGTGATTTTCAGTGTTAGACTGGGATAACGTCACCTGTAGCAGGTACAACCGTAACTGAATCACCAATATCTGCTTATTTATTACAAACTTAGATTCCAGTTGTTAGTGACTTTAGGTCTGGTGGAATGGGCGACTTTGCAGCTGAATAAATAATTGATCAACTCCAGAGATTGTTTTCATTGTTCACTTTGGATTTCACAGATCACATTAGCATACAGCAATGCATAAGTTTAAATGCAAATGCATACTGCATGTGTATTCTCAAATATACTTTATGTATTATGTGTTTATATATATATATTATATATATAAATATATATATATATTATATATATATATATTATATATATATATATATATATATATGTATAATGTCGTGTCAAATAAGTGAAACTGGTCAATTAGCAAGAACTCATTTAAAATTAGGTCCTTTCTATAATTTTGTCTAATTCTCAAGAAACTGTAATGACATGATTGCAATCAAACCATATCACGGGTGGGGTTAGAACCTGCTGTCAGAGACTCATAAACCTCCAGACCGACCAGTCTGGAGGTTTATGAGTCTCTGATCGTGGGTTCTGTCCCAGCCCGTAGTGTTATTTGGCTTTTCTCATATACCTCATATACATTTAAAAATATATATTTTTTCATTTACGTTGTTGTAAAAAATAATAATTTTGTACCAAAAGAACCTTAGAAAACTTACCTAATCTTTTTATAACATGCGCAATTTAATTTAGCCTAATCCAACTAAATATACTTTAGATAACTTTGTAGACTGTAAGCCTTTAGGGGTAAAGAAACGTTCGCACCTCAACTTCTTTATTTTTCGTTCGATTTCTTTCATTTTTTTTTGTACGTAAATAAGCTCCTTTCAATAGTAATGTGACCAAGTTTCTATAAGATAGCTCAAAAAACAACTTAGAAAAAAATTATTTACTAATAATCATACATATTGAACAGTATTTTCGTAATTGGACTTGGAGAAGCTGTTTTGGAATGATCTACGCATAAAACAATGCTAAACTGTATTTAAAATGGGCATCCGAACTGTAATTTATCCTTTCTTCATTCTTAAAAATAATAAAGTTTGTATGGTTTTGACATTCAGCCAAATATCTGACTTTTGGCCTCACAAAAATCAAAAACAAATTATGATATCTCAAAATACTAGCTACCAGCTTGTAAAACAATCTTTCCTTTATGTTCTCTGTGAATTTCATTGCATTCCTGTTATTATTAACGAAAATACAGTCATATATATGTGAATAACTTACTTCCGTGATAATCCGCGAAACAGCCGGACCACCGATTTTTTTTTTCTAGAAAATAGCATTTTTCTCAGCATTACGAGTGTATATCATAGTTACCCATGTTCGTTTTCTTTAATATAAAGACCCTAGAGGAGAAAGAAGGAAAATGGAAGCCCCTCCCTGACTATGGAAATATTATATTCCAGAGGGAGCGCTGGAAGTATATGCCATATATCATTCATTCTGGAGTATTTACCATATTTCTTTGTTATTTATATTGTTTATTATGTCATATTTGATCAATTGTGATAGATAAATAAGCCGTAGAAGCTATAATAGCGTTATATTGAAGCATATTCTCCGGCTATCCCGAGACTGGAATTTTCCATGACGTCAGCAAAATGGTGTCGGGAGGTTCGTGGTTGGCTGTAAGTCTACGTATAAGTCCCACCCACTGTATTATGATGCTAAATCGTCAATTATTATCTTACTCAAATTCAAATTCAAATTCAAAGTTTATTCTCTATAAGGATTACAATGCTGAGTTTACAGAAATTTGGTTATTGTTTGGTTTACATGTAGTAAAATTGTGATTACAGAGTGTACCACTAGAACGCTTAGCATGGCTAGGCATTTCGGGCATACTTAGTTTTATTCTTAATTGTAAAATATTACAAATTATGAGGTAAGTTGGTATTATGGCTAAGTGACTAAATACTAGTTTGTGAGTTTAGCAATGTGAATGCTTTTGTTTTGGCACAGTACATAGTTTCAGTATTGGAGTATCACAGGATTCATTATTTTAAGACTGAGATTAATATTTCTGTTTATGGTCAAATGAGTGAGTGTAAGTGTGAACCACCAGGTGGTATTCGTGTAGTTAGTTGACGGGGTGTATCAGGGAGATAAGATGTTTTCTAATGGTAGTTTTGAAGGTGATGAATGTGTCTGCAGTTCTAGAGTTCTCAGGTAGTGTATTCCAGATTTTAGGGCCTTTGATATACATTGAATTTTTGTAAAGGTTTAGTCGGACACGGGGAATGTCGTAGAGATGTTTGTGTCTGGTGTTATGCCTGTGGGTTCTGTCACAACTATCAAGAAAGCGTTTTAGGTCAAGGTTGATATTAGAGTTTAAGGTCCTGTAGATATAGACTGCACAGTAGTAAGTGTGGATGTACTGAACTGGGAGTAAGTTTAGATCTATGAAGAGTGGGGGGGTGTGTTGCCAGGGATGGGATTTAGTGATTATTCTTACTGCAGCTTTTTGTTGGGTTATTATTGGCTTTAGGTGAGTTGCTGCAGTTGATCCCCAAGCACAAATAGCATAGGTGAGGTATGGATAAATAAGTGAGTGCTATAGTGTGAGAAGGGCATTTTGCGGCACGTAGTATCGTATCTTGGAGAGGATCCCAACCGTTTTGGATACTTTTTTGGCTATATGCTGGATATGGGTGCTGAAATTCAGGTTGTTGTCAAGGTATAAGCCTAGGAATTTTCCCCCATTATTTCTGGTAATTAGAGTGTTGTCAATCTTAATGTTAATTTGTGCATCTCCTGCTCTTCTACCAAACATAATATAGTAGGTTTTGTCAGTGTAAGCGTAAGTTTATTGGCTGTCATCCAAGTCGATATTTAATCAGCTCCTCATTCACAATGGTGTTGAGGGTGGCAAGATTAGGGTGAGAGATGACATAAGTCGTGTCATCAGCAAAGAGAATGGGTTTCAGGTGTTGGGATACGTTTGGAAGGTCATTGATGTATATGAGGAAGAGCAGGGGACCAAGGACACTTCCCTGCGAAACTCCAGTATCAAGTGGCCATGTTGCTGATGCTGTGTCTTTAATGGTGACGTACTGATACCTATTAGTAATGTAAGATTTGAAATAAGCAAGCGCATGGCCTCTTATACCGTAGTGATCAAGTTTGTGGAGTAGGATGTCGTGGTCTACTGTGTCAAAAGCTTTTCTTAGGTCAATAAAAATTCTAGTGGATATTCCTTATTTTCCAATGCTGTGTAAAGCAGATCTAGCATTTTTATGATTGCATCATTAGTGCTTTTATTTTTCTGAATCCAAACTGGCAGGGGTTGAGTATGTTTTGAGCCGTTATAAATGAATACAGTCTCCTGTGCACGAGTTTCTCAAAGATTTGGATAGCAATGGTAAGTTAGATATTGGCCTATAGTTGTTTAAGTCTGTAGGGTCACCACCTTTATGTATTGGTGTAACCCTTGCCATCTTGAGTAGTTTCGGGAAGGTGCTAGTCTCTAGTGACTTGTTAAAAAGTAATGAAATAGCATGCGAAAGGACATGGGCCGCTCGCTTGTACAGTAATGGTGGGACATGAGACAGATTCCCCGAGTTATTTTTAAGTGACTTTATGATCTCAATGACTTCCGTGGGCTCAGTTGGTGCAAGATAGAAGGAATTAGGGAAATTCCCATCTAGGTAGTCCCGGCATGGGCATTGGTATGTGGGATTTTACTGGCGAGATTAGATCCTATGTTTGAGAAGAAGTCATTTATCTTGTTAGCTGTGTCAGTGGGATGTAGTGGTGTTTCATTAGGTTTAGTTAGGACAATATTCTTGGTTTTTCTCAGTTTGTGGGTCCCTAGAATCTGAGAGAGTGTTTTCCAGGTCTTTTTTATATCTCCTCTAGTGTCTGTGAATCTACTGGAGTAGTATAGTTGTTTGGCTTTTTTTATTACTTTGGTGAGAGCTGATGAATAGTGTTTAAGAGTATCTTTGTGTATTAAGCCTTGTCTATATTGCTTTTCATATTGGTGTTTCTTGTCAATGGATTTCAGAATGGTGCTGGTTAGCCATGGGCAACCAAGCCGTTTGTTTGTGATCTGTTTTGTTTTTATAGGACAATGTTTGTCCTATCATCAATACCATTGGCCTTGGAGAATTCTGTAGGTCAAT